TTTGTTTGAGTGTTTTTATTGTTTAGTTTTGCATTCTTTGAGTCTAGTTTAGTGTTTCAAACTTTATTTTACGTTTTTGAGTCAGTTTCCAAGTGATTTTGCAATCCCTCCTAATCCCCGGTTAAGAACGATCCCTACTTACATTCTTCACTACAATTGACAAAAAGAGGGTTTAAATTGTGTGCGTATAATTCTCGCATCAGTACCCTTTCTCACTGGTTCCATAGCCTACAAAAACACCCTTGTTACTTGATTTCTCCAACTTGTGCCTTAGTTGGTGAGGGATGAGAGCGTAACATACTGAGCCAAACACTCTCAGGTGCTTCACAGAGGGTTTCCTTCCACTAAACACTTCAAATGGTGTCTTCTTATCCAGTGCTTTAGTAGAACACCTATTCAATAGGTACACTGAGGTGTTCACAGCTTCACCCCAAAATGTATAGGGCATGTTCTTTTCATGCATCATAGACTTAGCCATTTCGACTATAGTCTTATTCTTCCTTTCTGCAATCCCATTCTGTTGTGGTGAATATGCCACAGTGAGTTGCTTCTCCAACCCCACATCTTCACATAATGCATTGAACTCATGTGAGGTGTACTCACCTCCCCTATCGCTTCTTAGTTTTTTTATTTAGGATTCACTTTGTAATTCCACCATTGCCTTGAACTTCTTGAATATTGTGAATACCTCTGACTTGAACCTTATGAAATATACCCAACACATCCGTGAGTAGTCATCAATCACGATTAGGAAATACCTGTTCCCACTGATTGTTGTTGTTTGCATTGGTCCACACACATCTATGTGAATCAATTCGAGTGGTTTTGTTGCCCTCCAAGCCTTGCCAGCTTCAAATGGATCCCTGTGATGCTTGCCAAACACACACCCTTCACAGGTTTCATTGCATCAATCCATCTTTGGTATACCTTGTACCATTTCATGCTTTTGCAAATTTTGTAAGCTTGTCATGTTTAAATGACCAAGTCTGTTGTGCCATAGCTTCATAGAACCTGTCACACTTGCTTTCCTTGCCACTTTGTCTAAGTACTTCAACATAAGTGGAAAGCTTCTGTTTTTCACTTCCACTTTGGTCACCAATTTAATAGGGATTTGTCATCATAGATCTCAACCACAGTTCCCCTAAAAAGTAGGAAATATCCATACCCCATCATTTAACCCACACTAAGTAGGTTTTCATCCAGTCCTAGCACTAGCATTACCTCCCTTATGCATTTTCTTCCTTTCTTGGTGTTGATAACCAGAGTTCCTCTTCCAGTGGCTTTGACAATGTTTCCATCTCCCATTTTCACTTTTCCAATGAAATTTGTGTCAATGTTAATGAGTAATGACTCATGTGCAGTCACGTGGTTGCTGCATCCACTGTCAATGTACCACACTTCATTGTTTTTCTCCACTTTTGCACTAAAGGCACATAACACATTTGCTTCTTCCTCCACTTGATTTGCGCGGTTTACTTGATGCATATTCTTCGATCTGCAGTTCTTCATAATGTGCCCAAACTTGTTGCATTTATGGCACCTAGGCTTGTCTTTGAACCAACACTCTCCAAGATGAAATTTATCACAGTGTTTGCATTGTTGTTTGGTTCTTGGACCTGCATTAATGTTGTTGCCTTGCTTAGGTCTAGAGTTATGATACCCTTTTCCTTCCCATTTTTTGTTCTTGCCCTTCCACTGTGGTTTTTGATTGCTTGCACTGGCTTGGCTACTAGATCCAATATTGAGTGATTGAAAGGCTTTCTCAGGTGCAAAATCAGCATGCCGCTTGAGTCTTTGGTCAAAAGCTCTTAAGGATGCCATCACATCTTGCACACTGAGAGTTTCAGTGTCTTTGGTTTCTTCAATAACACTCACTATTGAATCATAGGGTTTAGTCAAACTAATCAACAGTTTCTAGACAATTCTTTCATTAGGCAGTTCCTCACCATATGTTTTCATCTTGTTTACAACATCAAACAACCTAGTGAAGTAGTCTTTTAACAACTCATTTTCCTTCATTCTTATATACTCGAAGTCTCTTCTAAGGGACTGAAGTTTTACCTTTCTGACTTTAGTGTCTCCTTTATACTCTTGTTGTAAAACTTCCAAGCTCCCTTAGCAGTTTCTTCATTTGCTATCCTCGGGAAAATGGTGTCTGAGACAACACCTTGAATGATTCCAAGTGCTCTAGCATCCTCCATCCGATTCTGCTTCAGTGTTTTGAGTTGTGTTTCTGTGAGATCTTCCTCTAGAGCATCGATCTCCATCTCAGGTAGTTCATACCCGTGTTGAACTATATCCCATAGATCATAGGATTTGAAAATGGTTGTCATTCTTATTCTCCAAAAATCATAATTCTCCCCATCAAAGACTAGAGCTTTTAGCTCACTGCTACTACTGGATCCCTTCATTTTTAGAATTGTTGGTTGGTTGTTGTTATTGAGGACACTTCGTTGGTGCTCCCAAGAGTCTTAACTTGCACATATTACGCCCATAAGGTTTTTTTAGATCAGAAACTGAGCTCTGAGGCCATGTTAACGTTTGTTTGTTGAATAGTTTTTTATCCGTTTCTTGGGGGTAGAATGGCAGAGAAAATGAGAGGATTTGGAGTGTGTTTTTCAACTTCAAGGTTGTGCAGAAAAAATGCAGCAGCCATACTTCATTAAGTAGTGAGAAATGTGTAAGGGTATGGTACATTTCCATCACCCATACTTGTGTAAAAGAGTTGGTGATTAGACAATATCAAACACTAAAATTACCTTACTACTCCAGATTAAATCCTAGCCCTTCATTGGGATTTAAGTGATCTAATCTAGAGTGTACATTTGTCACTCACACAATTAAACAAAAAACTAGCCATTGGAGGCCAACCCTCATTTCTTTTTCTTCCTTCTTCAACGCAGACAACATCCTTTGCTTAGGAGCACTTTGCTACCTTCGACCCCTCAACTCCAGAAGCTAGTTAGCTCCCAACACTTTGAAAAGGTTTGAGCCTCATCACTAGAGAGCTTCCTAGAAGGAATTTGGTGTGATGCCAACCTAACATCACTTTTTTTCTAGCAACCTAACAGCATGAGACCTGATCTCCCTTCTCTTAAAAGCTACCTTGAACCCATTGAACTTCTCAAGATACCCTGTACTCATACCATGCATCTCACTATAAGTTGTCAGAAACACAACTAAGTCATAACACCGTTTGTCTTTAATGGACAAGTTTCTTCCCTCTGCATCCAAAATTGTTCCACTATAAATTGCCCACATTGACCCCTTCTTCGAATAAATGCAATAAATCTCTCTTGCCACCCTTTCACAATCCACAAGATGACAAAATATATTAAATGAATTAATAGAAGTCTTCCTCGAAACTTTGAACCTCCCACAAGACACATGGAATCCCATTTTCTCCAAGTAGGCAAGCCACTCATAACCATTATTCTAAAGATCCAACCAACTCATTTTCACCTCAAAAGGTTAGACAGATACAACTTCATCAATTAAACCATAATGCTAGACTGTTCTGGAGAAGGTGGCTTCCCAGCTTCCGCCAGAGAACCCAATTGAGGAGGTGTTTCCCCCTGAGAATGCGGGTTTTTAGATCATGACGGACACAATCGATCAGACCCTCGATCGTAGGCAGGGAAGTGTTCACCAGGGGCTTGGGAAAGCCCGCCTTTAGCACTTGTTTGCCTCATCTTCTAGGCAGAGAACAGAAGAGGTCGAATCGTTAACATCTGAAGTGGTGGACCTAAAAGAACGGATGCTACCCAATAGTCTTAGCTTGTGGCCCAAAGCAGTTTGATGAACCAAATTCGTCTCGCCCTTTAAATCTCTAGCATTCGGTTCCTCGACGTTGAACCACCTCCAACTACGATCTCCTAGGCCCCAATGCAGCAGCAACACCACCAACATGCGATTGTGACGCCGACGACTACATATTCTAGTTTTCTTTTAAATTGTTTTCAAGTTTTGAAATATTGCTTTCCATTGTATGCACAATTTCAATAATTTTTTCAATTCAATATTCTTCTTTACATCTTTTGTTTTTAATTTCATTAAATTAATTTATACATAAAACAATATTATCAACATTTAAAAGGAAAAAATAATAATAAAAAAAAAAATTTAAAATCTTACTGCGATGGCCTTATGTCTGACACACAAGGGTCTGGGGGTCGAAACCCAGTTTCATCGCTTGGAGTGTAATGCGCAATGAACACTCATTCGTCGCTCTTCGTTTCACGCAATGACCACCAAATCTGTCGCGCAACATTCATTTCGTGTGACAAAGCACTTTCAGTCCGTCTCGCAATGTCTGATGTCACGAGCTTTGTGTGAGAGAATTTGCACAACGCCCTCTTCGCTGCTCAATGTTTTCGACGACCATATTTACCTTTGCGTGATGGTTGTCTCTTCGTCACCCAAGCAGTTACGCTTAATAGTGTTTGTTAAAAATAAAAGAAATAAAAAAACCTAGACTACAATCTCATGGGGCACTATACTACGTGGAAGGAATATCTAAAAGTTTTGTTCCTTCTATGTTCTTCATGGGAGTGTATGTTTATTATTTTAGAAAATTACATTTTTTTAATATGGAATTTTACATACCAAGAGTTGCATTGCCAGAGAAAGCGAATGGGAACAAAATTAAAAGGGTAAATTACATTTTACCCCACTCTATTTATCACAATTATACTAACCATTTTATGTTACACAAATCCACTAAAAACGCATTAGCCTCAACCCACCAACCAAATGAAGAAATAGTCATTCCATGAATAGGAAAAAAATACAACAAACAAAAAACGAAAGATATGCATCATAAAAAATGGAATAGATAAACAAACAGTTAAGGTTGTTTCATGCTAGTTAATGTGCTTTACTATTCTTAATCATACATTCTTCTTTTTTATCTCTATAAATTAAAGAGCAAGGAGCGACATTGAGGAGAACACAAATAATATAATTTATTTCTTAATTTGGATATAAATATTTTTCTTGTCATGGCTACATCCAGTTCATCAACGGGTAGAGGATCTTATATGATTTCCATGGTACTTGTACTAGGGCAACTGATGGCTACCTTTGAAACTACAGGTATCTCTCTCTTTCCATCTCTCATACTTCAAAACTAGGGTTCTATATATGGCAGTCGACGTAAGTAAGATTGTTTTTACGACTTGTTTTAACGCACTACTTGTTATCAATTAGGAACATCATGTTGTCCCATAAAAACAATAATATTTTTTGATCTTTCAAATCTAGGTGCCCAAATTGGTGTATGTAATGGAATGATTGGCGATGACCTACCAACCCAAGCAGAAGTTATTGCTCTCTACAAAACATATAAAATCCAGAGAATGAGACTCTATGATCCAAACCAAGCTGCTTTGGGTGCCCTTAGAGGCTCTAATATTGAGCTCTTGCTAGGCGTGCCAAATGACAACCTTCAAAACCTTGCTTCAAGCCAAGCCAATGCAAACACATGGGTGCAAATCAATGTGAGAAACTATGCCAATGTAAGATTCAAATACATTGCGGTAGGAAATGAAGTCAAGCCCTCAGACTCCTTTGCCCGATTTCTGGTCCCAGCAATGCGAAATATTCAAAAGGCGATTTCTATTGCTGGCCTTGCCAAACAAATTAAAATTTCCACTGCCATAGACACTGGAGTACTTGGAGAAGCCTATCCTCCGTCAAATGGCTCATTCAAGCCTGAATATAGCTCACTTTTGCAACCCATTATCCGTTTCCTAGTGAATCACAAATCGCCATTACTTGTTAACTTGTACCCGTATTTTAGTTACAGCAGCAACGCTCGTGATATTCGTCTTGATTATGCTCTTTTCACATCTCCATCGATTGTGGTACAAGATGGAAAATTTGGTTATGATAATCTTTTCGATGCCATTTTGGATGGTGTTTATGCTGCCCTTGAGAAGGTTGGAGGAGGGTCCTTGGAAATTGTTGTATCAGAGACAGGTTGGCCATCAGCTGGTGGAACAGAAACTACAATTGATAATGCAAAGACATATTACTCACACTTGATTCAACATGTGAAGGGAGGGACTCCAAGAAGGCCAGGAAAACCCATAGAAACTTATATCTTTGCCATGTTTGATGAGAATCAAAAGACACCAGAACTTGAGAAACATTGGGGGGTTTTTTCTCCCAAAAAGCAGCCTAAATACCCAATTATTTTCAATTGACCATAGCTAGGTAAATGTACATTATGACAATAAAGAGTTACCATGTATCATGTATCATGTATCATGTACCCAAAAAGCGGTTATGTACGACCAAATAGTTTCATAAGATTATCAAATTCTCTATAATTTAGTATGTCGTGTTTAATTATATGATAATCAATACATTAAAACTGTCAATATAATATAGGGTTCTTAAATTTCTAGAACTAATCTTATGCCTAGGCTCATTCTATTTCTTAACGAAATACTACTTTTCTTGATACACTTGATGTCATTGTTAATTATGTTCAGTCATAGAGATAGATGCCACCTCTCTTCATATCACATTGTTTTAGTTGATATTTATATCTACTAGAAAACATGGATTAGGTGACAAAATTATTTGTGATGCCCAAAAATTCATCACTTTAGGGTAAAATAAGTGATGGATTTCGGAAAAAAAAAAAAAAGCATCACATAAAGAGTTCCCCGGTTGAAGAATTTTTTTCCAAAATTTTGTTCGTCACATATAATTCAAATTTTTGACAAATTGGTGTGCTAGAAACTTTTATGCCCAATTAATTGTCAATGGGTGATGAAAGTAGAGGATTCGCCACATAACACAAAACTATTGCGCTAGAATAAAAAATAAAAAATAAAAAATAAAAAACTGATGTAATTAAAATTAAAAACCCCCAAATCATCAAAACACACTATTTCGTCTCACTCTTTCCTTTCCTGGTGATTGCCACTGGCGGCGCCACCACTTCTCCTTCGTCTCACTCTCCACCGCTCGCTCGTTACCTAACACCACCCAAATTTCGGAAAGAATTATATGGCTCCTCTGGTGGTTCCTTAATGATGCAAGGACCTTGGTCAAAATATTTAATTTTCAACAAATAATAACGACTCAAATGGCGAAATCTACACATCCAGTCCAAAAACTGGTTGAACAGCCCCAGAAATGACTAGAGGAAAACAAGCCTAGCAAACCCCTAGGGGGAAACGCTCTCCAAGTTGGATCGTTTTGAGTGTTGAAAGAATGAAATTCTACCATCAAGGTCCCTGTAAAGTGGTTATACGATAAACGGTATTTTAGCAATACTTGTGGGTGGGAAAATGGGTGTTACTCTATCAAGTGAGAGACTTTAAGGTGAGTGGAGAAATAAGACGAGTACTGGGCTGCAATAGAAGCAGTGATTAATTTTCCGACAACAAACTCCCTACAGCAGCCCGCTAACAGATGTGTAAAAATTCACCTACTTGTTCGAACCAAATGTAGTATAAGCAGACGTCCACCACGCGCTGCCGTTACTGCCCGGGAGGTCACGACATGAGCAAGTTGAAACCAGCATGACAAGAATCATCTTGAACTTGGGATCCCGCAGCTGCAATCGTCATTTCCCCAAGAGTCGCGGGCACGAAAAGTGCCATTACCATTGTGTGATACCCTCATTGGGGGTGCACTCTACAGTTTCACTAGTGAACTTTTCGGAGGCGGGGGAACATCCGGTTTGGCCCCAAAAGTGGCCTCTCCATGGATTCCGAGTGCCCACATATCTGCTACCTTGGGGTTATAACTTGAAACCTGAGGCTGGTTAGGGTTCCAGGCCAAACCACGTAGGGGAAGCAGTTTGAGATACGAATTTCGTTGCATGTGCACCACCTGTTTGCAAAGTAAGTCATGAACAATTGAACTCATTTGCAAAGATCGTATTTTTTTTATCATATTAGTTAATCACTTGATGTGTCAGTCGATATGCACATGGTTATTACATTAGTTATTGATAATTATTAATATTAATTAATCAACTGCCAATCATGCGAATAATTAGTTAGGTTTGTGATTTTCAGTCTCATTTTATCCTTCTCTACTTTTTCCTTAGTTTTTGCCCTTTTGATTCTCTTATGATTTATGCAGTCTCGAGGGTAGAAAAAAGGAGTGCATGAAGTAAATGAGAGCGGGAATATCACATACCATTAGTTAGTGTAGTCACAAGGTCAGACTCAGGTACATACGGCGACAAGAAACCAAACACAATCAAGTCATGCTGACGAACCCAATATCATATTTGCATCCAAATCAGCAAATAGAGCCTATATTGGCCAACAAAAACAATCTAATTCAGCAAAATTTGTACTAGAAATTTAGCACCGGTAATGAAAGGAAAAACAGAAACGAGAACTGTAATCAGTAGCTCTGAAATTGCAGGAGCACAGAAGTACAGTACGTATTCAAAAGAATTAGGCTGTTAGATTTCTTTCACTTTCCCAGCAGCCAATGGGTGCTAGGGTTTCAAACTAATAGTCAATCAGCCTAAGCTCTCTAATTGACATAATATCGAATTCTCACTTTTTTGGGGTCGAATAAGAATGCTAACTTAGTATTTGAACAAATAATCGACTAATGGCTTGGCACAAACTCTCATTGAGGGAGACAAATGAGACCGAATCCCCATTTGCATCACCAAGCCATATTCAAATCTGCAAAACATCAGAACTCAACCAATAAATGGAGAACCGGGGTTACCATTTTCTGCTACTCGTTGCTATCTTGACTAGCACTCTGCACTCTCCATCCCACGACTGAAATTTCATCTGTACGAAAGAAGCAGAAAAAAGTAAAAAATTGTTCTACTTCCAAATTAATCGGAGCAACGAAAAAGGATTTACAACACTAAGTAGCTACAGTACAACTTATCCTGATTCCTGCACATAAAGCTTTTGCAATACGAACAAAATCATAAATAACTATTCTCCCTCGGCCTGATAAAAAACAAAAACAAAATATGACGATATATATGTGAGAAACCAACCAACCAATATATGGCATGACTCAAGGAAATGTTTAGTCCAAAAACAAATCAGCTCTGAACTTCTAAAGTGATACAATGACATAACCCAAAAACACCACTTCTATTGAAAACGAGGTTTGAAAGGGAAAAGGTTTCCAAAATCTAGATAGGGTATTGCGACATTTATAAAGTATCCATCTACTCTGCATAAATCATAAATATCAAATATTTGAAAGATTAATATAAACCAATACATAGGTATGCACATGTCAAGAAAATCAATCGTCTTCTTCCAATCAAGATTTATGAAGCATCACATAATCTAATACTGAAGCTTTTAAAAATTCAGTTTTTTAAAAGCTGGGTGAAAAGAAAATAAGGGTCTGTTTGTCCAAGAGAAGAGAAGAACACAAAAACCGCTGCTTCACATTATTTAGTACAGATGCATTTTCTTTTGATTGTAAACCAGCATTTAATCCACTTCCAATAAAAATTGGAAGATTATATATAGTCAGCAACTGATTAGATTGTAGTTCAACAGCAGTACCCTCATTTGCTACAAAAATTACCTCAGTAGCGTACTGCATGAACAGTAGCATATTGCACTTTGAACCCGAAACCAGAGAAGGAAAGGCTACATAAGGAGCTCTCTGCTTTCCAAACAATATTCTAAACCTATCTTCCCAAACCAAAAGTAAGTAAATCCGGAGGAAGAGAAGCAGGATCAAGTTCCCAGCAGTCTTTGAAAAGATTTGAAGCCTCATCACCAGAGAGCTTCCTCAAAGGAATTTGGTGTGATGCCAACCTAACATCACTCTTTTCTAGCAACCTAACAGCATGAGACCCGATCTCCCTTCGCTTAAAAACTGTCTTGAACCCATCGACCTTCTCAAGATACCCTATACTCATACCATGCATCTCACTATAAGCTGTCAGAAACACAACTATGTCATAACAACGCTTGTCTTTCCTGGACAAGTTTCTTCCCTCTGCATCGAAAGCTGTTTCACTATAAAGTGCCCACACTGACCCCTTCTTCGGATATATACAATAAATCTCTCTTGCCACCCTTTCACAATCCACAAGATGAGAAAATATATTTAATGAATTAATGGAAGTCTTCCTGGAAACTTTGAACCTCCCACAAGACACATGGAATCCCATTTTCTCCGAGCAGGCAAGCCACTCATAACCATTATTCTGAAGATCCAACCAACTCATTTTCACCTCAAAAGGTTTGACAGATACAACTTCATCAATCAAACCAAAATGCCTTGGCATTCCATCGTCATCATCGTATGTAGCCCACACCTGTCCTTTCTCAAAACTCCTCCCTACTCTATCTTTATCAAAATCGTAAAAATCTGATTCCTCCACCACCATAATTTCCAGATTCCCACTCTTAGACCCCCTGCTGCTCTTCTCTATTGACAAGCCATTGCTTTTATCACTTTCCAAATCCTTCTTTGAAACAGCGCGTTTCTCAACATCTAAATTCTTACCCTTCTTTAATTTGTCATGGCTCAGCCTCTCTCTCTTCTCTTTCTTATCTCTTTCATCATTCTTGTCCTTCAGCTTCATCTTCATCTTCTCCTTTTGAGCCTTTTGCTTCATTTCCGCCAATGTCATCATTTCATCACTGGTTTTTGCCTTCTTCGGTTTAGACCTCTCCATCACCTCTCCAACACTACTCATTCTCCTCCTCAACCTCCAACCACTCAGTTCACCAGCATCACCACCCTGATTGCCCAAACTCCCAGTACCCACCTCACCTTTCTTCTCCCAAACAACACTTTTCTTTTTCCCAGCGCTCACTTGACTGTCCAAATCACCAGTACCCACTTCACCCTTCCGCTGCAAAACACCACTTTTCCTTTTCCCACCAGTACCGCCATTTATTTCACCACTGTCACTCACTCTCCTACCCAATCCTTCACTACTCATTCCCCCTTTTGATGCCAATTCTCTTTCCTTAACCTCTCGCTAGTCCTAACCTTGAAATTCTCACCATTTTCAACCTCCAGAGCCTTAAAGCTCTTCTTACAACTTGGGCAAACCAAATTATGCCCCAAATACCTCCTTCAAACTGGTGCAAAAGCCGGCATGTTGAACAGGCTGTCCAAAAGGTGTCACCTTCCACCACCATACTAGAACGTAAACCCCCAACACCACTCTCTTTAATTTTCTCATCCTGAATCTTTATCCTGAGCTTCATATCATACTCCTTCCTCCTAAGCTTGTCAGAAAGGATTCGAACAGCCTCATTGACGAGTTTGAAAGCCTCTTCGGAACCAGCATGAGGATTCTTGTCAGGGTGGAGAAGAAACGCGAGCTTCTTGTAGTTCTTCTTAACGGTGTTGGTGTGAGCAAAGGGCTCCACCTGCAGGACCTTGTACCAGTCAGGATTGGGACTTTTGGAGGCTGTACAGATGATCTTTAAGGCGGTGACCATGGAAGAGATGCCTTCCAAGCTTGGGCTCAGGCGCTCAGCACGTTTTGCATATTTGAGGGCTGATTTGACATTGGAGTCTTCGTATTTGGCCTCTGCTACAGATTTCAGCCGCCGAGCTTCTTGCTCAGGTTCTTCCATTTCCTTTACTTTCTGTAAAATTAGTTTGTCAGGGATTTCACGGAGAGAGCACATAGATATATATACATAATTAGACGCACTGATTAGTAATAACCAACTAACTCAAGCAGCTCGAACGCACTAACATATTTGGTCAGCGTAATCACCAAACATCAATGACATTTTGTGATCATGCTTTGTGTGCGTAATGTAAAGGTCACAAATAAAGACGAAGCTAAATTCAATTCCGTATAATTCCACGACCGGATATTCATTAGTTACAACATTCTTCATATCCATTACACATCAGTAACTTTCACACTTGCAAATAAAATGATGGAGAGTTAAATAACCATTTTCAAACTCGCTCACAATTCGGTGTGCTTAAACCGGAATGAAAATTGAACAACAAAATCATACCTTGTCTTTTCTTAGGGCTTATTGAAATTGTGGGAAATTGAAGTGACAAGGTTGAGGGAATTTGGGTATGGAATTTTAGGGTTAGGGTTTGGGTCTGCGAATTGAGAGAACGAAAACAGAGCGGCTGAGACATTGAGAGAGACGATTGAGGGCAACGAATACTTTCTAGCGCGGGTTTGGTAATTGCAACTGCCGCGCGGAGGATTAAAAAAAAAAAAAAAAAAAAGCACCTTGTTTTAAGTAAAAGCTGCTTTCGAAAAATGTTTTTGACAAACGATATTATCTACATTAAAAGGAAATAATATGGTTTAAATTCTTTTTTACAGAGAATCGAATCTAAAATCTTTTATTTACATATGAAGAGAAATATCAATAGACCATAATACTAAGTAGTACAATATCGTCATTTTAGCCTTTAGAACTCAATTTTTACTCCGTTTCGGCGAGATTCCACCTTAAAGACCTTAAATATAAGGGTAATATAATAATTTCATCCTACATGGCACCATTGGACTAAAATCTTTTTCGCTTTGCCCGAAACATGGGCGGCACGTCACATGTCTCTCCTTATGTAGAGCCTATATAAGGCTAAGTGCATTTGTTTGACCTCATTAACTGGAATTGGACTAAATTGGACTAGACTACTTAGAGCATCTCCAGTGAGGGTCTTTATTTGTGATTGGAAAAGTGGTGGATATAACTCATTTTAGAATTCTGAGGAATCTTGGGGGCTTTATGAAAGAATCTCTCCCAATGAGGGGGGGTTTTGTAAAAGAATTTCTCCCAATGAGAGGCAATTTCTTTTAGGCTCTATACGGGGCAAATTCTTTTTTTGTGTTAACTTTTCTTAAGTTAACGCAAATAGCTACGAGTTTTTATCATTAATAGCTAAAATTTAACACTCAATTTCATAAATTTTATTTTTTATACAAAAATTCCAATGTCGTAGAAAACTCATGTGAATAAACCTAAATGCCCTAAAAATCCAAAACCGAATTACACAAAAATTTCAAATGTAGCAGAAAACCCATGTGAATAGACCTAAATGCCCTAAAAACCCTAAAAATCCAAAACCGAATTACACAATCCAAAACCCATGTGAATAATGGTTGAGGCTTCTAACTCATTGGAATCAAATTCTGATCTAATTCACAAGAGGATGATTCCAACTTTATTCTTTGGTATGATTGAACTTCTAATGGGGTTTTGTTTCTTACGTTTATTTGGTTTTAATTTTCAAGGTATTTAGTTCCTTTTAAGTAGTTTTTCTGCTATATTTAAAATATTTTATAAAAAAATGACATTTATGAATATAGGTATTAAATTTTGGCTATTATTGATAAATACTCTAACTACGAAAGGGAGGGTTGCCGGTTTAAAATGTTTCGGAATTCCTGTTATACCCTCATATATTTATAAAATTTCATTGTAATCCTTCGACTTTCGCACGCTCCATCTTCTCCAGCGGCACGAGAGTTCGAGGCTTGGAACACACAGAACCAGCGGCAGCTTGAAGGTGAGATTTCTTGTTCTCAGATCATCAATATTTACTCTGTTCAGTTTGTAATTCCGTGTAAAAATGAAATTGTGTATTGTTGTGGAGGTTGAGCTGGAAAAAAGGGAACTGGTTTATTAGACTAGATCTCTAGCCTTTACTTTGTAAACTCTGTATAATTGTTTTCTTTATGTAGATAGTGCAATATTTAGTGTAACAATGCTGGCTCGGTTTATTCTATCTCGGAAATATGGCACTGGTATTGCAATTTCCGCCAATTCTCAGATTGCTCAGTATGCTCGGCTTGGCCAAATTGAGAAAGCCCGAAGGGTGTTTGATCAAATGCACGATAAAAATATTGTGTCTTGGAACTCAATGGTGGGAGGTTACTTCCAAAGCAATCAGCCCGGAGAAGCCCGGAGGTTGTTTGATAAAATGCAGGAGCGGAACACAGTTTCTTGGAACGGTTTGATATCTGGGTATGTCAAGAATGGGATGATTAGTGAGGCTAGGAAAGTGTTTGATTCAATGCCCGAAAGGAATATTGTTTCGTGGACGTCGATGGTTCGAGGGTACGTGCAAGAGGGTATGATTTCAGAGGCTGAATCACTTTTCTGGGAAATGCCTGAAAAGAATGTTGTTTCGTGGACAGTAATGTTGGGTGGCCTGATTCAAGAGGGTAGGATTGATGATGCCCGTAGGCTTTATGATATGATGCCCGACAAGGATGTCGTGGCAAGGACTAATATGATTGGTGGGTATTTTCAGGTTGGGCGTTTGGCTGAAGCACGTGAGATTTTTGATGAGATGCCACGTAGGAATGTTGTTTCATGGACTATGATGGTATCTGGGTATGTGCATAACCAACAAGTAGATATTGCTAGAAAGCTTTTTGAAGTGATGCCAGAGAAAAATGAGGTGTCTTGGACAGCAATGCTGATAGGTTACACTCAGTGTGGACGGATCATAGAGGCCTCAAAGCTTTTTAAAGCAATGCCTATTAAGTCAGTTGTTGCTTGTAATGCCATGATACTTGGGTACGGTCAAAATGGAGAGGTAGCTAAAGCAAGGGAAGTTTTTGATAATATGAGAGATAGGGATGATCGGACATGGAGTGCGATGATTAAAGTTTACGAACGGAAAGGTTTTGAATTGGAAGCCCTTGACTTGTTTGCTTTGATGCAAAGAGAAGATGTAAGGCCGAATTTCCCTTCTTTGATAAGTGTTCTATCTGTTTGTGGCAGCTTGGCGAATCTTGATTATGGTAGACAGATTCATACCCAGTTGGTGAGGAACCAGTTTGATCTTGATGTATATGTTGCTTCAGTATTGATGACAATGTATGTTAAATGTGGCAACCTTGTGAAGGCAAAACAGGTGTTTGACAGGTTTTCTGCAAAGGATATTGTTATGTGGAACTCAATGATCACTGGTTATGCCCAACATGGTTTAGGAGGTAAAGCTCTACAAGTGTTTGATGAGATGTGCTCTTTGAGCATAGCAGCAGATGAAATCACCTTTGTTGGAGTTCTTTCAGCGTGTAGCTACAGTGGCAATGTAGAAAAAGGTCTTGAGATTTTTGAAACGATGAAATCAAAGTACCAGGTGGAACCAGGAACTGCACATTTTGCATGTATGGTTGATCTGCTTGGTCGAGCAGGGCAAGTAAAGGAGGCAATGGATTTAATTAATAGGATGCCAGTGGTAGCAGATGCAATTGTTTGGGGTGCCTTATTAGGTGCATGTAGACAGCACATGAAAATGGACTTGGCGGAAGTTGCAGCAAAGAAACTTACAGAGCTTGAGCCTGATAAAGCAGGACCTTACGTCTTGCTATCAAATATTTATGCATCCCAGGGTAGATGGCATGATGTTGCAGACGTGAGGGAAAACATGAGAGCCAGAAGTCTTCGCAAGTCACCTGGCTGTAGCTGGATTTTGGTGGAGAAAAATGTACATATGTTTACTGGGGGAGAGAGCACGGGACACCCAGAACATGAGATGATTATGAGAGAGTTAGAGAGACTGGGTGTATTATTAAGAGAAGCTGGTTACTGCCCTGATGGGAGCTTTGTATTGCATGATGTAGAAGAAGAAGAGAAGGCACACAGCTTGGGTTATCATAGTGAGAAATTGGCCATAGTATATGGGCTCCTCAAGGTGCCAAATGGGATGCCAATTCGTGTGATGAAGAACCTTCGGGTTTGTGGGGATTGCCATTCTGCAATTAAATTAATAGCTAAAGTTACGCAGAGAGAGATTGTTTTGAGGGATGCTAACAGATTTCATCATTTTAAGGATGGTGTGTGTTCTTGTGGAGACTATTGGTGATTCCAAACTTGTGGGGATACATCCTGGGACGGTCTGGTTTGAGACAGGAATTGTGCCTACCGGAGTTAATTGACCAGGACAGAAATTGATACTTCCAGACAATGACACCTATGTATAGAACCATGAGGAGAACTTGCTATAACTTTGTTGGTACATGGGGAGAACTTCCAAATACGATAACTTGTATGCACTGGCAATCCAAAAAAGCTTGTAAAATTCAAAGTGTAAGGCCTACAATGATGGTTCTGGAATTGAAATGATTTTGAAGTACTTATGCTTGTGTGAAAATGGCATGGGGTGAAAATTTTCTCGTGTGGAGGTACGTTATATTCAATCTAAGTTCATAATATTGATTTTTATTTATTTTTTACTTTTTTTTTTATACTAGTTTGTTCTGTTACTCGGCTAATATTTTGTGCCACATTCGCTGTTCACCTTATGATTCAGGGCTGGAACTTGACATGAATGATAGTGAGCTCAGCCAAGGAAGGCAAACATAGAGCTTTTGTTGCCCTGAAGTTCATTAAGAAAGGTCATCTTTTAAATACTTTTAAATTTCCCCGGTTCCTAACTTAGGGTGATCTCTTTGGGATCAAACTTATAGTTTCCTCTATGCCCTGCTATGAACTACCATGTGAGCGAGTGTGTGTGTGTGCATGCATGGTTGAGTTTGTCCAAGAGGTTTCCCGCCAATTGAATGGTTGGGATGTTGGTACAAATAAATTATACTAGTAAAATATTTGAAGGGCAATATCACTGATATTGGCAATTTTTGTGTAACCTTCTTGATTTCTCTTCTCTTACTGGTAAACCTGTTATTGATTGTTTGCACATCAGTTGTTGCCGAAAACATATTTGTGTTCAAACAAAAGCATTTTGCACTGCATCCTGGTGTCTGTCAGTATATTATTTCAAACAAATCCTCTAAGATGTTAAAGAACAAAAAAGGTAGTTCCCTTTACACTGAAGAAGAAAGTAGTAAAACCAAAACTTGTGCCCAAACAGCAAAACAAGTTCGAACTGGCTTCAGATTTGTAATTGGTCATGCTTTTGAGTGTGAGCTTGTTTCAAATTCATCCTTTTTACTGTTCGTGCATGAAAATAAGGATGTAGTCGAAATACAGTACCTGTCGGTGTTCGCTTTGCTTCTCTGATCTTGGCTTAGAGTATAACTGTTTTTGAACTCTCTCACATGATCGTAGAGTCCATCTTATATGAGTGAAGTGAAAAATAAGTTGCACAAAGCTTTCGTTCTAGAGTAATTTTCTTTGTTCATATACAGAAAAGATCTATCATTTAAGTGGCTTGTGATGTCTTTCAATGTGGGTCAAGTGTTGGTTTGATGCGAATCAACTAAGTTTGCTCATTTTCAAAGGGATTTTCTACGGTACTCTAGAGTATGAGATAATTTGGTTGTTTTAACCCGTGATCTTTGTTTAAAATTACAAAAATCAAGATCTAACGGTTAAAACAACAGGAGTATATCATACTACGGAGCACTCTAGAATTTTGCATTTTCAAAGGTTGAACGAGTCATACATGGTTGGTTGGTTTAGTTTACTGATGTCCTGCTATTACATCACTCCTTAATCTCTTTACTTCATTATTTCATGCTAGAAGTAGTGGTTACCACTCGTGATAGTTTATGATCCACGAAGATATTTTCTACTTGAATAATTGAATTCTCTCCTAAGTTGTTAGATGTAATTTCATATTTTCTTTCGGTTTTTCACGTAGACGCTATCGATAACAGTACATCTTAGAGAAAAACGTGTCAAACCCTAAAACTTTACCACCCAAGTTCCCAGAAAGAAAATTTAACAATGTGCCTACAAAGAAGCCATTTTTATTTTTTGTTTTTTTTTTTGTTTTTTGTTTTTTTTTTTTTTTTTTCCGGTACAAGCAATGTTGTAGGAGGAAGCAAAATCAAACTCGGGACCTCAGGCGCAAGGGTGAATGTATGTTCTGAAACTAAACTACAAGCTCCATGCCCTACAAGGAAAGGTTTAGGTTTAAACCATTACCTTCTTTATCTTCCTCTTTCTTATATTCTTCTTCTTCTTCTTCTTCTTGTTTTCCTTTAGAGGAACCTCCTATATGATGACCAGAAATCTTAACATCCTCAAGGAAGTCTTCCGGTTGAAATGTCGGGTTCCAACCCCCGGCAGCCTTGCCTTCTTCCTTCTTCTTATCTTTCTTCTCTTTCGACCCATTTGAATTGCCCCTGAGAAGCTGGCGCACCTCCCTCGTACTTGTAATCAACGCATAAAATTTCTCAATCTTCTCCTCTTCATCCTCCATCTTCCTCTTCTTTCCTCCTCCTTCCATGCTTCTCTCTCTTAACTCCCCCTTGCCATGTGTGAGTGTGCGTGTCTGGTACACACACACACACATATATATATATATATATATATATGTAATCACTTTGTTTTCTTCTGCATTGCTTATTTTCTCAATTTGTTTTGTGACGTTAGACAGAAGGGAAAGATGAGGCATGAAAAGCGCGTTGCTTGCTGGACTGTTTATATAATTGACAAAGACTGTAGAAGTCGTTGGTGGAGAAGGGAAGGAACACACGCATTGACAAAAATACCCATTGGGAACTCTGCATATTTTGACTCGCAGGGTCGAAATCTGCGTTGGAAAGCAGTAGTAGAATGGTCAATTGGGCTATTGGGTGCGGTTGGCAGAATATTGGGCTGCGTCATCCCCACAACGTAATGTTTCCACCAACCATGTGGTGAGCGAAGCAATTATGACATGTGATAGTGCGTCTTTTTCCCGTCGGCCTTGATTCCCCTTGCTGTACTTGATCTTTTTCTGATTACGATATTGGAACTGGGGTGTTGAGTTGTCACTCAATAAGTTATCGATGTCGAATTCATCATTGGTGGCAGTTGAATTTAAGACATCATATTCATAACGCTTCACCGTAGTGTGGTCATTTAGTAAGATAGGATTAGGATTTGAAATGAATCTACACTCATTTCAGGACAAATTAAAGGCAGTAGTGACTGATTTCACATTTGGAGATCATAAGAGATTTAGACATTATGAAAACTCATTCCTTCCAATCCTACCACTTTAGAGATGATCTTTCTTTTGGTGCCCATTGAATTGTTGACCCGGTGGATCTTATGTGAACACAAAGCCACTAGGCTATGCAAAGACCGGCGTCATTTTGGAAAGACCTTTTTCAATCACGGGCTGCTACACGCCCGTGAAGATGTTTTCTAGTAGTTTTCAATTCATTTAGTGAGTCATTTCGACAATTACAATGAAAAACAACTAATGCAAGATATTTTTAGGGGCGAAAAACAACTAACGCAAGACATCTTTACAGGCGTGTAGTGCTAGTGATTGAAGAAAAGGAATCATGTGGCTGCAAAGAAGCTAGTGTCTTGAAATCGTTGTGTAAATCAATGCAATAGTAAATTAGTAATCACATAATCTTCCAGACACCCGTTGGTTTTACATTATGTTCTCTAAGTAACAAAATGTACATGCATCTAGAACAAATTACTAACACAAGAGAATGGTTCAATACATACAACAAAACATGGAAGAGAAACAAAAGAAAATAATAGTAAGACTAATTTAAGTCACTATGCATGTTGTAAGTCTTTGCTCAATATCCTCTTCGCTCTTGTGAACTCTTTGTCTACAAAGTAATTTAGTAATCAAACTTTCAATAATACAATGAAGGTAGAATTCCAAAACAATTAATGTAAAGAGAAGCAAATGAAATTATTTAAAACATACCTAACACTAATACTCTAAAAGTATCGTGATAACACCTAAATCAAAGCACAAACATTTTAAATGGATTAAAATGGTTAGCAACACCTTAAAAAAAAAATCAAATAAAAACAAACAACTCTAACCATTTGTCATAAGTGTTGCTTCAAAACTACAGCCCTTTTCTTAGCCTTATATATTTCATCTATGGAGCCAAAAATAATCCAAAAAATCATGGAGGTGATACATGGACTTTTGGATAAAAAGACAAAATTACTCTCGAGGCACACCAGGATTCTCACGTGCATGCAACGGACAATAATGGCTCAATCAATGAATAGTCAAAGGTGATCAATATAGTATTTATTCAAATCCCTCTCATCACTCCTCATCAATCCCTTATTCATTTTATTCAAAAGGTAACTCCCAAAACTTCCTATGTAATTTAGGAATAATTGTCATGTTAATTGCAAGATATTATTTCACATAATATCTTGCGATTATTCTCCAAATACTACCATATATGGCCGACCATTTTCCACCCTAAGGGCCAGCCACCTCCTATAAATACCCCTTTTATCACACTAAAATGCCAAGCCATTTGCTGCCCATAAACTCCAAATATACATTCTTTTCATAATTCTAACTTTGGCATCGGAGATACTTCCTCCAAAGCCCTCCCCCCTGCCCCATTCATCATGGGTATGTGAGACTTTTGGCCTTAATCTTAAGTGTTATTATTTTGCAAGTGCATTTTCATCAAAGGAGAAGATGACGGAAATTTGCATCCACATCATCATCGGTTTGCTTTATTTTTTTTATTTTTGGAAATTTCAGCACCTAAATGCAATGAGATTACCAAAGCCTAAATGTAGACATTAAGAAAACAACATAATTAACATTCTAGAATCAATTTAAAAAACAGTAGGTTTCATCAAAAGTTCAGCACCAAGAAAAACAAAATTTAAAATAAAAATAAATTAAATGGTAGAAAAAATATGCAAGTCAGTTCAAATGAAGGGATTTCTTCTAAGCATGGTTTACAAACAAATATCATGAAACAATATAAACTCTACAAATGGAATACAAAGCATAATGTAATATCATAAGATATGCAATCAATATGTAATAACTCATATGTTGTAGGTTCAGGAAGTACATGTGAGTAGTAGTCCAATCTTACATATTCCTCTTTTACCCAAACCCTTAACTAACCCACAACCTCCCAATATAATTTGCCTTTGATTGTCTCCGCTGCCAACATGCCACCACAAATGGGCTGAACAACGCTCCATTGGTTTCTTTTGTTCGTGAAACTGCAGTGAAAGCACACAAATATACTTTTAGTGGAAATAAGCAAAACTTTGAAAAATTGCACATACCATATATTGATCTTCTCCAGAGTAAAGTAAACAAAAAATGGTTTCCAATTTTTTTACCTTCATAAGCCAATTGCATCTTCAATTGATCTCAATCTTTCATTGATCATATGGCCTGTTGAATAGGTGACAAAATTGATCTTGGTTTCCGTGTTTGAGTCAAATTCAGGTCGTTAAAAATATATAGAACAATTCATGCATCCATATATATAAACTCAAAGGACATGACAAACAGTTGCATCAGGTGCCATTATGAATGGTTCATCATTTAAAACAGTAAATAAAACATACCTGCATCATCATCATCATCCATGTCATTGGTTTCTTCTTCTTCAATGTGAAATCGTTTCAGTATATCCAACATTTTCAGTTTCATTTCGTCATCGGGCCCCACCGGAGATTATGCGATTGATCAATCAAATCAAATCACAAAACACTACACAAAAATCACCACCAAAATAAATAAAATGAAATAAATCTGTACAAATATGCATAGATAACTTGTAGCAGTGCAACGAACAGTAGCGTGAGCTGCATGGCGGCATGTGTACGGCAAAAGTAAAAATAACAAATTTATCAAATCTTAAATTCTTTACCCATGGCTTTTGATTGAATACAATTATCTAAATTAGAAGGTGTGAACACCATTGATGCGTCACTTTTAATGTCCTGCACCATGAGTAACCAAACACCATCAATAGGCACAAAATCAGTACAAAACTTACATTGCAAGGGAAGTGAAGATATTTAGCAGGAAAATAGAAAATTTTAAAAATAACAGCAAAAATTTATTTCTATCAAGGCATCTACTATCACTATGAGGAGCATATACTATCAAAAAATAAAACAATTGAGATCCACCATAATCAATCCGGAAAGACATAAACACCATGTTGCAAAAACATTCATTTAATTTAATTTTTTTGGCTAACAAATTTGTTAATTACTACATGCATTCCTGTCACCACACTTCACCAATTGACTTTATCTCTTATTGGTATGGGGTAATGGTATGAACATCGATCATATATATCCTAGCGGCGGATTTGGTTGTGTAGAGTATAAATTAAGAGTCAGATTAGTTATGAAAATAATTTCAATCTAACATATATCCGTAAGGAAATTGTTCCCTGAATATGTTTATTTGTTGGTTGATTTTGGTTGAATTGTGATGGGCTATGGAAAATTTAAAGTGGTGATTGAATCATCCATTTACTAATTGAACCCAGAGAGAAAAAAACGCAGGGAGAGAGAGAAAATGGCTACAGAGAAATTGGGTGAAAATTAACCCAGCAAATAAATCCATTAAAAAAATTAACCCTAATTCCAACAAAATGCAAAGAAGTTAGGGCAATAATTACCTTAAAACTCCACTTCTTCCGTTCTCTCGTGAACGGTAAATTAAGGCCTGAAAAAACAAGAAGATCAAAAGTGATTTTTCAATGAAGTGAGATATCTAGTAAGAAAACCAAAACTGAAATGTTCAAAACGCAGGAAGAAGCACATAAGCAAATGATAAGTAAACTAATGAGCCAATCAATTAAATAAAAAAGTACCAAAGACAACACATAGAGACACGAAATCAAACATCATAAATTGGTCAAATTGCAATTATGAAGAACAATACGCTCGGGAGACTCTCAGCTAGAGTGAGAGAGAGAGAATATTGAGAAGGAAAATGGGTGTGCAAGCAGTCAGAATGAGTGTATTGTAATTGATTAATCATTCTCCTCTCAATAACGCGTGGAAGGCGGTTTCCATCGTCCTCCGCTCTTTACAACCGCTGCATTGTTCTTGTAATCGTGTCTGTTGAGTAGTTAACCGCATAACTGAGTTTAAGAGGATAATTATTATGTTTTTCTTTTTTCAAGACAGTTTTATACTCTGTTATGTTTTTTTCTACCAATTTTTCCTCATTTTTTGAAATTTTTGGATTTCATTGTGAAGGAAACAAAAAGGCATTTTAGATTTTCAAATGTTTCATCTATTTAGGCTTCTTATATAGATAGATAGACAGATAGATAGATAGATAAAGAAGGACAACAACAACAACAAAAAGCATGTGCAAGACCAATCCTTAAATGGGGGCTATTGTTTTTTTTTTTGGTCGTGAAATGGGCTATTTATTCGGCAGGAAAATGAGGGAGCGTTTCCCCTTGGCGCCAATATCATAATCCTATGCCAAGTAGTTTTCTTTTGAACTTTTTTATCTAACTAATAATTATAGGCATTATATTTCTCTTTCCATACATAACGGAGGAGGAAGAGTTTGCTCATCACCTGGGTGGTGCGAATAAATCAGATAGATAGTGTAGTGCGCACAATTTAAGTAGATAGTCTAATGGGCATGATTGGCACACCCCGACCTAGAAAGTCCACTTGAACCCTGAATCGAGCTGTGCTGGCCGACACCTGGAAGGTGACGAAGCCATAAAATATGATAGTGCATAAAAAGTGAATAAATTTGAATCTAAAAGTGTCTAAGTACCAGAGTGCGCTACGAGTGGGAACGAACCCATTTCACACGCGATGTCAGAGCATAAGTAAGGTGCAGTAATGTGGGTAAGAATCATACCCTCAAAAATATCCATCAATACTAAGATTCGCCATAGATTCTTGTCGATACAAACTCAGCAGCTAAAACCTGGAGGGCACCAAACAGAAGGTGTGAGTAAGCAATAAAACCAAGCTTCCCAAAGTTACTACCTCTCAAAAAGTAATGCCCCTAAATGTAAAACCCGTATCGTTTTCCATAAGACAGTACAACATATATACATATATCCAAACTATACTCGGAAATGACCAAAACCACAGTTTGCCATCACATCCACCATACATTAATAAGTAGGCCAAATGAACTAAATCAATACAAAGTGATATATCAGTCAGAGTCAGCTAAAATGACATGTACAACTTATCTGTATCTCATCAATCATGGCTAGAATATAAGTCGGAGTCACCTATAGTGACCTGTACGACTTAGCCATATCTCATCAATCCTGGCTAGCATATAAGTCGGAGTTACCTATAGTGACCTGTACGACTTATCCATATCTCATCAATCCTGGCTAGCATATAAGTCGGAGTCACCTATAGTGACCTGCACGACTT